TGAGGAGATCCTTCGAGTGTGCCATTGTAGTGTCTTGGCTGCAAGGTGAGCCCTGCGTGCACGGATGCGTCGATCATGGCCCATGGGGGCGGCATCATGGTAGCGGCGTTTGAGCCGGATGTTGTTATTGACCTCGGTGAGGAGGGGTAGTTCCCCTGCGGTGCGTATGTGGTCCACATTAGTAGTGCATGTGGATTGCCAGTGGAGGCGAAGGGCGGCCCAGTGCGCCTTGAACCAGTTAGTATGGAAACGAGGAGAGTGGAGGTGGGTGAGGGCAGCTGCCCATGCTCGTGTGGTGTGTGTCATGGTAGGGAAGGTTTTCCAGCCGGAGGTAGCTTGGTAAATGGCCGGGAACTGTGTCGTGAGGAATGCTCGCGTGTCAAGGGCATATTGGTCGTATGTGGGAATGGAGGATTGGACCCAGTGGAGGCAGTGTGTGGGGGCACTAAGTATTCGTGGGATGGCCGTCGTGGTGGTTTCTTCTGGGCGGAGTTGAGTGGTCGGGGGGGGGCGTCGGAGCCAATGGAGAGCATCGATTAGCGTGAGTGCTGATGTCCATTGCTGCTGGGCAGAGGCGAGTAGAGCTACTGTGTTGCCAGTGGTAATGAAACCAATGTGGATTGCAGTGAGATTGCCGGAAGCGAGTTTGCCCCAGGTTGGGGTAGTGGAGTGGTATACGGAGGATACGTGTCGGAGTTTGATCTGGCCCGGGGGAATGGTGAGGAGCCATGTTGTGTGGAGCTGGTCAGCCATTTTATGGCCGCAGGAGCCATCGTGTACTACAAGCCAGTAGGTGGCCGGTGTTTGGTGAGAGATAGCGGATTGTATTGCCGTGTTTAGGAGGCGCCACCAAGTGGGGGTGTATGGGTTGTGCGTGGCATCAATCCACCAGTGATGGTTTGTTGGGGGGCGGGGGATTATGCAGTGGGGGGAGGGGCCAACTGGGCCCTGAAAAGTAGCACCATTGGGGCCGCCCATCCACTGTCCGAACCAGAAGTCGCGTGGGGCAAGCAGGGGGGTGGAGCGGAGGGCGGTGTGGTACAGCCAGCGCGGTAGTAGGGGTCCCGGCTTTGGGCACTGGTTCGCTTCCCAGGAGAGCTGAGAGGTGGCTAGCATGAGGGATTCTGGTCGGGGGGGTCCAAGGAGGCGGTGTATGTGTAGCGCATGTATACAGCGGTGCGCGGTAAGGGGGATCATGCACATACCCGTGTTGGGTGATGGGTGACCGCCGCGGGTTTTCCATTGTGGGCGTTTTGGTCCGGGCCAGAGTTGTGCTATGGTTGTGCCATGTCCAGGAATGTATATGTCTTGGTCGGGGAGCCAGCATTGTGGAAGGACCGCTTGTGTAGCGAGAAGGATGTGTTGGGATAGTGCGACGGCCTTGGGGCAGGTGGGAGTTGTGAGGCCGAATCGGTGTTCCTGCGTGTCAGGGAGATCGGGGCACGTGCGGCAGTGGGCCTCCCAGCGTGGTTGTATGCGGTGTTTGCGGGCGTTGGTGTGTAAAGTGTAGCATATGGCGCGCCAGTAGAAGTTGAGGGCAGGGGGGTCCCATTTACAGATGTCCCCGGTGGGGAGTCGGAGTGGCTGAACAGTCCGGCGGGTGTCTGGTTTATGGGCTTGTATCTTGGGCCAATCCCGACGTCCGTACACTGCTCTTAGCCATGGGGCCGTCGCCCCAGTGACCGGCCTGTAGGTCGCAGTTAGTGTTATATGCATCCCCACTGTGCAGATGCTAGCAGTGGGGATGCTTGTAAGCACTGTGTGCTAACAAGTACAGTGGTTCACGTTGCGAAAGTAAGTGGATATGAAGAGCTGGAGAACGTGGTTAGTGTCGTTTGTTGAATGAGGGGCAATTGGAATCACTACTGGAGGTAAGGTGGTGTTGGCGTTGCTACGTATGTTCAATCAGGACCTACCTACAACGCAACCATTACTCTTAGCCGCATTCGTACGTTTTAAAGTCACAAACGTTATTGTGTGGAATAGGCTGCAAAAGGGATCCCATCATTGGTCCCCAGGCATCATGGTGGGGCGCCGGCTGACTGCCACTGACCACAACAGTATATACTCCTGCTGGTTCGTGCCGTTTTACTTCTGCTGATCGACACCGTTTCGTGTGCAATGTCGGCTCGGCAGTATTTCAACCAATAGAAAGCCGTACATGTTAAATGTTAGTGATATGTTGCTGCTGCGACAACCGCCTCGTCCAATCGGATTGTTGCAAAAAATACTGACCAATCCGAATTCAATCATTTGTCGGTCATCCAACGTATTCGCAAAGTCTCACACGATGTTACGCAATCCCGCGTGCGACCGCCAAGCAGTGCCAGTTGCTCGAATCTCCTGAAGAAATACACGTTTCTTGTGATTCACCGTCATAGGGCAACGTCGAACAACCAAACTACTGTAACGTTACTAGTAGTTAAGTTGCAAGCACTCCTTTCGCATCGAAAAATGACTGTCATGGCAATCTAAAGTTTGCGTAACGAACGATATATGTCTTCCACTTTGTTCAGCGCCTGTGGCTGCAGCACGAGCCAACACGTTCGACGAAGTCCAGACTTTGTTTACGATGTCAATCGACCACGGCCGCCGTAGCAGACCATCGAGTGTCGACCGATTCGGCATCTTCGGACGCTTGAGATACCGTCGGTACCGTTGCCGAAGGAGCGGAGGCAGCGATGTCTGCAGGACCAGACTCGATTTCTGCAGCGTGAATCACATCGTTCACAACGTTGGCCACGGCCGCTAGGGAGTGGGTCACACCAGCATCGATGGACTGTAACGTCCGCGAGGCTTGTATTGGAACCTGATCCGGATAAACGAATTCGTACGAGTTTGAATACTACAGAACACACAACACAACGAGCAGGGGTAAAGCAGTGACACTTTATGACTTGCAAAATGTCTCTAGTACTATCCTGATATTCCGAACTTTTCAGTTCGTGATTCCTATTTATATCCGGACAAAAGAGTTCGTAAATCAACTCAAACCGTTCGTAAAAGTTTATTAATATTCGTCATTTTGTTGATCAGCATTTGTCAGATACTGTTTATCAACTTTACATGCATCATTATTATTCTGATTTGATAGCTTATGATTCACTTACAGTTAGTTAATATTCCAATGTATATAGTCAATGCATTTTCACATGCTACCATCGACAATGTTCCCGCCAATCGTTGTTGGCGACTTCGGATCAACCCAAAATGCTCGACGACGACACGCTGCCACTAGTGAAACCTGTATCGCCGCTGGTGTCACCGCCGACGTACCGCGCAAGCGGTACAGCCTGGTCGGCCTACGTAAGTCTCATGAGTACCATGCTTGGTTCTGGCATCATGACATTGCCAAGTGCAATGGCAGCGACAACGCCCCTTCCAAACGCCGTATTGTTGGTCATGACCGGATCCATGGCCCTCATGTCTTTCCGGACACTGTGCCTCGTGGCCGACGCTACCGAAGCGTATTCATACGAAGCCATCAGCACCCGCGTCTTTTCTCCGTCTCAAGTGTGGGTGCTGCGAATCCTCACCGTTCTTCCTTGCTTTGGCTCCATGTTGATGAATATGCTCGTGGCCGTGGATTTGTTGCTGCCGTTCCAGGCGCTGTTTTCCCGAACGATACTTTGCCTTGTCTTTGCACTTGTGACATTTCCTATGTGTCTCCCAAACACCCTTCACGCCCTTCGCATGACCAACACCATGGTTCGAGTTGTCGACATTTTTTCTGACATACCTAAACAGCACCATTGTTTTCTCCGGCATCATAGGTGGTGACGTCCGTGCTGTACATTGTAGCTGTGCTAGCCGGTCACGCGTATGGCCTGCCGTGGCCACACGACTCGGCGGTAGAGCGACCCTTGAATTCGTTCAGTTGGGGAGGAGTGGCTTATGCCATTCCAATCCAAATCTTCAGCTACGGGTGCCACCTCAACCTTGTCCGGACGTACGGCGAGCTCGAACACAAACAATCGATGCGGTGGGTCATTTTCTGCATCGTGTCGACTGGTTTGGCCTTGTTCGCAGTTGCCAGTACCTCTGGCTATGTGATATTCCAAGGTCATCCCCCCAGCAACGTATTGGCTGGGTTTCCAGTCGCCGACATCAGCATCACCAGCGTTCGAGTCGTTCTCGGTGTGAGTTTGTTGTTGAAAATGCCCCTTGCGTTCCATCCCCTTCGAGACATGCTGGAAGTCGTCGTCTTGCCTCGATTATTGTTCTCCACGACAGCATTCTCACCACCGTGGTTTCGAGTCTGTATCACCACCGTACGTGCAAACGCTGACGTCCAAATTCATGTTTCTTTTGGAGCCTTTTTGACAGATTGATGAGTGATGGTACGTTGTCTAGATAAGTCTAGGCATGGTCACGTGGATTGCCATCCGAACGTCGGACCTGGGCACGGCCATGACGTGGGTGGGGACATTTGACGGTGTGATGTTTCACTTTGTCGTACCGGGGCTGTTTCTGGTGTCCACGCCCTCGAGCCAGTTTGCGACGAGGTTGCCTCGATGTGCCACTGAAATGGGCTGGGGGGTCGTGTGTATTGGCCTATACGTGGCCGTGGCGTCGTTGAGTCGATTGGTGTAACAGATGACAAACGTTTCATAAGGGTAATCAATGGGTCGTCTTTTCACTGAAGTACATAGTAATTACTACTGTACACTGTGCTTGCTCAGCTACCGTGTGCGTCCAGGAACTAGTCAAGTTTGACTTGATGTAATGGAATCAGCAACACGCGTTGCGAATTTTAAATCCAGCATATGTCATCCAGGACACCTCCCACCCAACAACCAAGTCCAAACCTTGGCGAATATATATAATATAGTGAGGGAACAAAGGTTAAGATATCACGAATTTTAGAATTTGCGATATGACTTTGGCATCGTCTGGGCCTAAGTTTAGATTTAGACCACAGCCGTTTCAAGATTATCTACCAATGAGCTGTAATGAGCGACTTCGATTTTGGTAGAGCCACTGGCTAGCCTTTTTTACATCAGAAGGAAAATGCACATAATGTCCGCGACCCCAATGACAAAGGAGCACATGGACGCGCGACTGAAATACGCGAAAATGCTCCTTGCGTTTCCCCCATATAGGTCAACCATCATTTGGTCCGACCAGAAAAGATCAATCTCGACGAACCGGATGGCTTACAGTGTTACTGGCGTGATCTGCGGCATCCCAAGGAGTCCAATTTTTCCCGCAAGTTCGGTGGCTGAAGTGTGATGGTTTGGGCCGGACATTCCTCCGACGGGGCGACAGGTCTTGTGTTCTTGGAAGGTACTCAAAACTCATGCAAATACATCTGAATGTCTATTTTGTCTCCCGCTTCTTCTTGGATTTGTCTACATATGTAGTAGAAGTAGAAAGTACTACCGTAGAAGGACAAGATTTCATGCCGCATACTAGTAGAGTACAGCTGTAATGATTACTATTACGTACAGCACAATACTATTAATACAATCGACACTGTATACAGTACAGTACATTGTACAAGATACTATTATTGATACTGTTTTGTCTCCCGCTCCTTCTCGGCTTTCGGCCACGGGACCTTCGTCAAGGTAGCAAATATACACACTGACATTAGTGAGGTTAAACACGCCACGAGGCTCCTACTGACTATCATTCACTAAAGTACTCAGTTCATCCACTAAGGTATCGGAACCTTTGACACGCCACACACACAGAGTGTGTGTGTTTGCAATGGGTCAAACTAACGCGCGACTCAATTGCTCTGCACGCTGCAGAACACTTCCCCTCCTACGGAAAGTCCAGTGTCTTGATGAGGGCGGCTACGGCAGGGCCTTCCTTGTTCGCAGCCGCCCACTTGCGAAATACACCTGGAATGTTGTCCAGCAAATTCGCAGCAGGTTATCAGGACAATTCTTCATCGTTGAGGCCAAGCCACTTCACCAAACTTGGTGTTGGCCATTCACGCATCGCGCTACGTCCAGGCGCTCCACGTGATATCCGCCATCGCCAAACGCGATCTACGCCTCGTGGACTTCGGTCACCTCTCTACCACCTTCGTGGTACATCTTCAATCGGCCCGCATGATGGAACGTGACTTCATACGGTGGCACCAGCTGCTGAGTGTTCATCACATGGTCTGTGATGACTCTGGTCACTTGGCAGGGTCCTCGCCAATGCAGGGCCAATTTTGTCGGACGGTTGACGACCGATCCGACGAGCACAAAATCGCCGACCGAAAAGCCCGCAAATTTGACTTGGGACTTTCGGTCGCGGCGTCCACGCGCTTGCTGACGAAACTTGTCGCTTCGCACCGCCACGTTGCGGTGCATTTCTTCTAGCGCCACTTGGAGGTCCGTCACATGTTTCTGACGGGCGGCGCCAAGCCAGTCCGCGACGTAAACTTCCTTGGACGTCGGGTGGACAAATCCTGCCAGCTGGGTCTGGACCGGCAGGCCAGTAAACGCTGTCACAGGTGCAATTCCTCCCAGCCGGTCCGTCGGCTGATGGTTGAGGACGCCTTGAACGAGGGGCAACACATGCGGCCATTCGTCCGCGTTCAGCTTCATTTCGCTAAGCAGCGCCTTCACGGCGCGCAGCACTAGTCGGTTGACTACTTCTACAGTCTCGTTCGCCCAAGGACTGTAGGCCACCAACTTCCGCACCTTCTCGATCACTTCGTTCTTGAAGTGAGAACCGCCATCTGACACCCATGTGTCAACGCAGCAGAACGTGGTAAACCACGTCATCAGGCACTGAGCGGTTGCGGTGGCGTCAGCAGACTCTGCCGCAAACAGCTGCACAAAGCCACTCATGTCGTCCTTCACGACAAGCACTTGTTTTTGGCCAGACTTGGCCATGGGCATCGACAACCAGTCGAAATGGATGAGTTCGTTCGGCTTCTCCGCGTGAAGCGCCGTGACCCAATGGACGGGGAACCATGTCTCCGTCAATGCACAGGCAGTGCAAACAGGCACGCACGAACGCTTCGACGTCCGTGGAAAGCGCCTCCACACAAACTTGTCGGACACCGACTTGGTCGTCGCTGCGATGCGACGGTGACCGCTGGCTCCTTGCTGAGCGATCACACAAATCCGCTGCTGTAGGTCGACAGCACCGTCTGGGATCCAGATTCGACCGTCTGGGTCCACGTAAAAATGGGAGTTGTCGTCCCAATCCACGCCGTTTGGGGGGGTCCCTCCCCCTTCTATGGTGGAACGTTGGATGCCGCTGATCGTAGCGGCTGTCGGCCACTCGAAATCCACTTGTTGCAGGGGCGACACCACATGGATCAACTTGCGAACATTCGCAACTGGTTGATCCGTCGGAGCCGAACCCCATCGGCTCAGGAGGTCGCCCCATACATTCGCGTCACCCGAGACGCACTCAATGGTGTACGGGAAGGCCGACATCACCAGCGACCATCGCTGCAGCTTGTCGGCCTGGTACTTGGCCATGTTGGCGTTCGAGCCACTTGGGTTGAAGGTGTACACCAGGTTGCGGTGATCCGTAAACAGATGGAAACCACCAGGGCGTACGACCAGGTAGTCGAGTCTCTTGCATGACTCGACCACGGCATAGGCCTCCTTCTCCACGATGGGCCAACGCGCACTCGCGCGAGAAAACAACCCACTGATAAACGCAAGCGGCTGGTGCCGCTGGTCTTCGAGAGGCAAGTCGAGGTCCGCTGGTGGTACTTGTGTGGCGACCGCACACCAAAACAGGTCGCTGGCGTCCGTGACGACGCAGACCGTCATGTCTTCTCGCTGGTGTGACAAGGGCACCACATGCACCAACGCGTGTTTCACCTCGTTGAAACACTTGAGATAGTCGGACGACCATCCTACGGCAGGGAGTGCAACATGCACTATTGCCGTTTTCTTGCAACTTCCGGCTACCTTGGTGGCCACATCAAGCAGACGTTGCAACGGATCCACCAACTGGTTGTAACCAGGGATGCTCACGCGCATCCAGTTGGTGGCACACACAAACTGTTGGAGGTCGGCCGCGGTCGTCGGCGGCGACAAATCCACGAGTGCTTGGATTCGGCTTGAGGAGTGGGTGATTCCATCGGCCGAAATCACCTTGCCACACCACTCTGCCTCGCGCTGAAAGTAATGACACTTGTTCGGGCTCAACTTGAGTCCGAACTGGGCACAGATGGACAGGACTTGGTCCAACAAGTCGAGCAGCTCGTCCGTCGTCTTGGCGGACACGAGAAATCATCGAACCAGGCCAACAGGCCTCGAAACAGCAGCTCACCAAACATTTGGTGGACAACCGACTGGCAGTACGCGACAGCGTCCGTCTGTCCCATGAGCACGCGGGTCGGGGTGTACACACCGAAGGGCGTCATGAACGAGAAGTACATCTGGCTGTCCGCATGTAGCGGCAACTGCCAGTACCCCTTGGTCCAGTCCAACGTGAAGTACACGTTCGTCCCGACCAGACAGACCATCGCACTGTCCAGGTTTGGCATCGGCCAAGGCATCGGCTCCGTGCAGGCGTTGATCGCCCTGCTGTCGATGGTCATGCGCATGTCGCCGACTTCCTTCTTCGGCACGATCCTTGGGGCTGCGGCCCACGTAGCTCGGTTGTTTTGGTATACCATACCTTTTGCTTCCAGGGCAGCCACATGGCTGCGCATGTACTTCACATGCAGCGGCGGGTACCGCCGCATCCCACAATTCACCGGCTTCGAGCCGGGTTTGATCCGAACCTTCAATGGATCGACTTTGACTAAGGCGGATCATCGCCCAAATCTTCACGGAACACATCAATGTGTTTGGCTAGTAGGACGTGCAGCCGCATCGCTTCAGCGGGCGCAAGCCCGCGAGTCTCCGCCTCGGCTGCCTTTGCCGTCAGAATGCCTTGAACGTCGTGGACAATTCTACGTACTGGCAAATGCGGGGGTGCAGCATTTCCGTTAACATGAATATGCATGCGACACTTATACGGCTTTCGCAGACTTGATCTCTTTTTGTTATACTTGTCATATTTGTAATATCTGACAGACGCGGGCAAATCAATGTCTTCTCCTAGGCGGCAAATCAATGTGTTCTTGGCTTTCACAGACTTGCCTTCTTGTGTTACACATGTCATATTTGCAATATCTGCCAAACGCGGGCATATCAATGTGTTCTCCTGTCAGCTTTACTTCCGCACAGATTTCTCTGCTTTCATCCGTCACCGCGACAGCGGCGGTTTTTACCAGACTCTAATCAAGTCTATCGCAGCCGCGACGGCGGCTGCTTTCACAATCCTGGTTATAGAACAGTACTGTAATTGATTAGTACTGGTACAATCTAGTAACAAGCGTAAGAGTACTGGTGCGACTCTGGTACGAAAATACCCATACGCAGTAATGGTTCTTTTCAGTATACAGTAGTTCATTAGGTTATTCTGACTAATAGAGTCTAGATCTATAGAATATAAATAATGTACTACGTAGTACCAGTATATGCTACTGCTACATATTATTTTTAATGGAAACATATGACCGATATGGGTTGCTCATACTACTCTGGTCCATGAAGGAGTCCCATTTGTTTTGACTTGTTTAAAATATCGAGATTGGTAGAGTTCTGAGAAAATTACTCTATAAATACATAATCTTATTTATATGTAGAGGTGTATACCCCAAAATCAGACGCCGGCCATGGAGAGAGAGCTGTAAGTCTGTGCACACGCCGAATGAACGGACAACTTCAATAGATAAACTATAGCTCTATACTGTTGCGTGCTATATCAGAGAGCAAACCTTGCATAGGGTCGTCCTAGCCATTGTACCGGCATGGTGTGGTGATCGGCAATAGCGCGACGACACAAGGTGCAACTAGCTAACAGTAAAGTCTGTGGTGCTCGCAAGCACTTGTGGCTGCTCTGTGTAGGCTAGACAAGTCTTTAGGGCCTCAAGTACATCAGATTGACTGTGAAGTGATATTGAACGCTCAGCGGGCGATATTCTCTAAAAAAAATCGACGTCATACACTGTCACGCTTGTATCTCCTGCACCAAAACGAATTCAGAGAAACGTCGACTAACCAATCAAAGACGAGATCGCTGGCTTTCAAATGCACCAATTAGATCCATTAAACTAAAAAAACAGACAAATGGCGTCACACTGAAAGAAATGGGACTCTTTTCATGGACCAGAGTGGTATATGTCGAGCGACACAATATTTAGTCCTGTATAGGACTGAGTTACACAGTAAGTACTCATTGTACCGCTCACTACTGTACGATGTTCAGTCTACCTTGTCACGGTGGTCAATTTGTCTGCCCTCGATTTTATGTCTCGAACTTCTCCCGCACTACATTTCTCTACACACCGGCATATTTTTCCCACCAATCATAAGCATACACTTTCGCCTAAGTTTCAGTCTCCTCACTTCTACATTTCCCTCCACCAGCTTAAGTCTCTTCTCTGGCAAGGTCCACTAGGACTACCTCGGTCTTCTACCCGAGTCTTTTCATCGATACTCTTTCTGCCTTATTCTTTCTTACCTTTTCTACCCTTTTTGCCCCTTTTCCCTATACTCTTCATCTCTCCACTACCCCTACTTTCCCTCTACCACTTCTCGTCATTTGACATACCTATGCGTACCTATACTACACTACCTACGGCTAGCCTCATATTGGTTGGTACCAGTCTATTGTGGCTGTATTGCTGTGAGTGTACACCATAAACCATAGTAGTCTCGTGGATCCCAAATGTCAGCAATTGGTACAGGTACCTGGACAGTACGTCATAAGGGCCAGTTCGAAGTAGAAATGTCAATCTTCCCCAAAAGGAGTGCAAAGTATTTGTCGTTCCCTAAATCGTCTCCTGTCATGATAGTACTCTCTGCTATGATTGGTCCACAACATAGGAGGCTAATGTGAGTCTTCGGAAGTGATAGGGCCACGTGATTGGACATTAATGGTAATAGCACATCATCTGCCACCACTTTTCAACATGGGTCGATTGGTGAAAGCGAAGACACCAACCAAGAAGGACTCCAACCAAGAAGGACCTACAGGAGCAACTACGATAAATGCAGCTTGCGATGAATGGACCAACTACCACGGAAGAGGGCAACGAGTCGTTCGCCCCCACGTGGTTTGACCGCGTCGCCGTGGCCACCACCGTGTACAGCGATGAGATGGTTGTCGTGTTACTCTAGCTTCGCTTGGGGCGCTTCCGCGATGCATTTACCAAGTACAGCTCCAACCAGAAACGAAGCAGCTTGTGGGAACGGCTGCTACTCCAATTCAACATCGTCGTCGGGGCCGACAGTGCCACAACGACCACGTCCCTGAAAATAAGTAACCTACGTGCAAAATACAAAGCCATTCGTATCAAGGAAGCGGCAACGGGGAATGATGTCGATACATCGATTCAGTACCCATCGTACTGGGAAGACATGGTGGTTGCGTTTGGGGACATGCGTGGTGTGGGTGACATCGAGTTTGGCGACGAGGATACCTTCCAAGGCCCTGATGACGAAATGCGGTATGAAAAGCGCAAGGCTGTCGAAGACCTCGAGAACCAACGGCAAAAACGGACCCGGGCAAAGGCCAAAATTTGTGCTGGGCTTGTTTCGTTGGGCGACTCCTTGGCAAAAGGATTGATTGATGCTGCGGCCTTCGTACAACTCCCAACGCGAGTGCTGCAGGATTTGCCCAACTTTTGCCGGAGACAAATAATGTATTGGCAACATCAAGTGCCATGAACGAACGAACCGTCGCAGCTTTGGAACGGGGTAATGATATCCAGGTTAAGCTGTTAAAGTTGCTGGAATCTAAGCTTTAATAAATGCTATTACTACACGTTTTTTCTATTGACTTGGGACTTTTTTCAACGTTCTTGGCTTGGCGCTCATTCGAAAAGGGCGACGTGTCCATTCATTTGGCCTTGTGGCCAATAGAATTGACACGTCATGCCGCAACTCCCTTTGAAATGTACCATGCTACCAATGGAAAAGGCTCCACTACCCAACAATGTGCCAAGTAGCATTTCGAATCTGCCGTGCTTGAAGTTGAGTTGGATCGAATATTCTAGAAGGTTGCAGTTGGGCGATCTTCGCGCCACTTTTTTGCACTTTTCAAAATCGCATTCCATGCAACAATGGAGAACGCTGCACCATATACACCAGTACGACGTCGTCGCTCACGATACACTAGCCATGCTCATAGCCACGCAAGAAATACAAGCGCATCCCCTTGTCTGGAGTACTTCTACGGTCGTGCGGACCGAATGGAAGACATGGAAGTCGGCATGCAGCTGTTTGCTGCAAGTTTCGATGATCTTATCTGCTTTTTTCATGCCGTCGCGTATTTGATAATAAAATTTTATATTCGATCCAACTCAACTTCAAGCACGGCAGATTCGAAATGCTACTTGGCACATTCTTGGGTAGTGGATCCTTTTGGTAGCATGGTACATTTCAAAGGGAGTTGCGGCACGACGTGTCGATTCTATTGGCCACAAGGCCAAATGAATGGACACATCGCCCTTTCGAATGAGCGCCAAGCCAAGAACGTTGAAAAAAGTCCCAAGTCAATAGAAAAAAGGTGTAGTAGCAATGAGCTCCAAGTACAGACTTCAGAGTTCGTCAAGAATAAGTTCTCGTATTAATATTTCACCTTACATCCGTCGTGGAACTATCAACAAAAATTAAGGGAATAATTACATCTATTTTGCAACTATGTTTTCCCAAAGATAAGTCTTGACTTGGTCGCGAATGTACTGAGCATCAATTCCATCGACTTGGTGTCATTCATTTTAATGCACGGCGTCGCCACCAATGTGCATCCAATCTTCGTAGTCGTCCACATCCGGAACGCCTGCCTCGAGTGATTGTTCGTCGATAAACAAATTGTGTAGTACCAGCGTTGCCTTGATGAGTATCACCATCTCCTCAGGTGACCCGCGCAATATATTGACTTGAAAAATTCGAAGCGTGTTTTTCCACAATCTAAACGCACGCTCCACGGCCATTCGGGTGCGGCTGTGACGGAGGGTGTAGTGAGCTTCGTCGCCCTCGATGCCAAATCGAAGTGGATACGGTGTCAGCAAGTGACCGTACAACTTGTATCCTCCGTCTACCAGGAAGCAAGCACCAGGGGGCACTTGCGTGTGGCATGTCTTACCAAATCGGGACTCACGAAACAATACCTTGTCGTTTTGACTCCCCGACCGAATGGAATACGACATGAACTTCATTTTTGTTATCCACCACGGCCTGCATGTTGAACGCGGGGAAACCCTTTTGACACTATCACCCGTCATAGTCCGTAAAACGCTTGATCGGTATCAACGTTCCATCAAAACTGGCTCCGTACACGTTTGGAAATCCCACCACCTCCTCAAATCCAAACCGAATCGCTTCCCACGATGCGCCGTTCGTGGAGTACACACGTCACTCGCCAAGAAGCGTCGACACAACAGACTACATACTTGGATGGTATATGTTCTCGCCATTGTCTTGCTGATTCAAAACTCGAGCGCGGATGCATCGTAACCGTCCGCAAGTGTGAGGTAATGCAGGGCGCAAGCAACTCGGCCGTCCACCATGAAGATGGAATTGTGATGTAACGGCGCATGGACGTCTTCCCAACTCCGAGCCACTTTGAGTGCGATGTTTTGAAAACGTCGTTGTGGCAGCGCACGTACCGGCGAAACCATTCGTCGTACCCAGGGTTGTCCTTGACTTGTGATGATCATGTTGTGGTCTTCACAACGAAGCGTTGTACTTTCGGGCCAGGGTTGCTTGGACCGTCTTGAAATAACCGCATGTGCTGCAGCAACACCAGCAGTGCACAGTGCAGCATTTTTATCCATGCGTGTGTTGGAAAATGTACTCAGAACGCCAAATATCTATATTAGTGGTCCGGATACATCCAAGAAGCCTTGGACGTCCGGGTTGAAAACAGATTTGTTACGGAGACTCAAAGTAATTTGATTGGTCGAGTCTCCGGAAATTTGGTACGGAGTACTTCGAACTGGGCCTAAGGTAACACATGCATTCCAAAAAATACTTAATGGGTTTGTTTCACGACAAGCCGTACAAGCATGTCATGCAAATCTTATTGCCTGAGTAATACTTCAAAGTAATGAACTATCATTTTAGTCTAGCCAATCATATCGCACCATATCATTCTAGTGAGGACTTTTCGCATTTTCTCTAGAGAAGTACCAAATTTAACTTGAATAAACTATGCAAAAATGTCCGGATCAGATGAACGAGGACGAATCCTCACCTTGGTCCACAAAGAGTTAAGTCTTTGTCGACAATAGTGAGGATAATTCTCACTCAGCCCGTCCGGATACAGAATGACGTTACTTTAATCAAGTCAAGCCAAAATATCCTCACGCCACGGGAAAGCGGGTTGTGAGGATATTTCTGAACTCATTCGATTTTATTGGCTGAGTTTCTCATTAAAAATACACCAGCACCCATTTCAAAAGTTCGCCATGATATCATTTGAGCTTCGTTGTGATGTATACTTGGCGTTTAGACGAGAGGTCAAGGTATCTGTCGTAGGGCAAGTGTTAGATTACGCGCGAGTTCAAACCTCACCAAATCAGTTTTTTGCTACCAATATTTTAAAGGTGATCACTGGAAATAGAAATATATCGCCGGCTAAACTCGGTATTGATCGGCTCATCGACGGCGAACGAGCTAGTAGAGGAAACGAGAGCTATATAGGAGTAAATTCAGGCCAACTGTGGTAGTCCTTATTATGCTGCACTATTAATAGTATTTCGTTGAGAACTTTGCTGCAAAAGAACCTGCAGGACTCACCCGACCACGATATACACACGAAGGCGAACCATAATTGCTAATAGGAAGTATGCCACTACCACACTACCAACGATATAGCAATAATGACGTGTGAGGGTTTCCATCATCATGCAATTGAAGAGCATAAGGCGCCTACAAAGGAAATTGTTTGTGAGAGGATGACATGTTTGCTGACGATAAAGATTGTGTTTTAGTCGTATTCACAGTGCGAGGATTGTACGCTGCAGTGTTGCAGTTACGTCAAAGCGAGGGTAAGGCACATTACTCAGCATTATGTCAATATCACAACTATAGTGAAGGGGTAGTACATAACTACCACTGTGCACTGTAAAGATAGTGTTGTGTATATAGGCATATCCACTGTGGGGGATGTCAAATTTACTGTGAGAGGATAGCATATTGCTGTGTTGTTGCCACGTCCACTGTGAGGGGATAGCATTTTACTGATGACAAAGCGTTTATTATAGTCACATCTATAGTGAGGGGATAGTTCATAGCTGCAGATTGTGTCGTGTTGTATGCATATCCACAGTGAGGGAATGTCATTCACTGAGGGGATAGCATATTGCTATGCTTTTGCCACGTCCATAGTGAATGGAGAGCACATTGAGGGTGACGTAGCGTTGTATTATAGTCCCATCTAGAATGAGGGGATAGTACATAACTGAAGATAGTGTGGTGCTGTAGGAAACAGTGAGGGGAGGTTGAGTTGCGTTTACCTATAGGGGACGACATAATGCCGATTGTAGAGCGTTTCAGTCATATTCACAGTGATGGGATGATTCACTGCTTGATATAGTGTTGCGTTGTAGTCTCAAATATTTGAATGAAGAGCATCGTAGTCAACATTGGAATATACCCTCAATCATAGGATATGTATGTAAGTAACTGTGGGGTTCGAACTTCTATTGCGTTAGAACGGGCGCCAATGCGACCTGTGAAGAGTAATATAGGGGGTGTAGGTCACATTGATGATTTCTACCCAGTATGATGTCGTTGCAGAATCCTCAGAAGATGGCATCGCTTGTCAAGTCAACTTTCATGAATAGACCATACGAGGAACTGAGTGGAATCATATATTGGAGGGGGCCAAGTGGTGTCAAGACGAGTGTTCAATACACTCTTCTTGAATACATGCGCCCTCACTCGGTATCTAGGAGGAGTATTCAAGACGAATCACATTATAATCGACAAGTTGAATGTTGTTTTCATCTCGGATAGAGCTTAGGTGTTGATGCAAACAAAATCCACACTCCTTGATGAATAGATAGATACTGTACAGTACTAGTAAGCAGTCGTGTTGAGGATGTATGATCCCCGAAACTCATAACCACCAACAGGGCCATGTCATTGTATTATAGTATGCTATTGCTGCTTGAGATACTCATCCCTTAGTCTTTTGATATACTTAAGGCTCCTCATAAGCTTGCTGCAGTCTACGAGTGTCAACGTGCATGCTCAAAATGCGTGGGAAATGACTTGCTTGGTCGAGCCCCGATGAATATACCTTACTGAGGAGCAACATTTGTGTGTATAGAGGAAGGTTGACCTTGTCTTGGTTGTGAAATACACTTCAATGCAAGAACTCTCTCATTCCCAAATATACCTGGTAACCCGCAGTTGGGTCGCGGCGCCCCGAGCACACCTACAAGCTACAACAACGTCCATGGCCACGCTTCCGCCGGACCCCGGCAAGCACCAGACCATACCTCCGACACTGTCAAACACCATGCCAACTCCTATGGCCACCGTCATAGTCCACCGCAACGGCGTCCCCACGGCCATCCAGGTGCCGGCAACCGGCATCATACGCCAACCTCACCCATCCTCTTCCGAAAACGACTCCTCTGATACCACCGACAGTCCCGTGGACCCGCCCCTTACGGCACGCCAACTTCGATCGAAGCGTGCTGCCGACACGTTCCTCGCTCGCCACGACCGCACTAGGAACCCGCGGCCCGCTCCACGGACGCGCCACACCCACAAGAATCCTCGCCCCACCCGGCCCGACACGCCTGGCTCCGCCCCAGATGGCCTCTCTGAGGATGACAGACCTATCCGAGCTAGACAGCCACGCAAGCCAAACACCACCTACCACCCAGGCCAGGCTCAATCACTCCAGTCCCGTCCAACTCTACCATCCGCTCCAACTCTCACTCCCGTTCAGCCCTCCAGGTCGGCGAAAGGTTCCTCTACACAGAGCTCCCTACCGGACATATGGCGTCGATCCCCTCCTACCACCCTAGCGCCCCATCCCATCACCCTCCCCACCCCCACTTCATACATCACTACACCCATTTCAGCACCCATTACACACTGCCATGGGCCTCCACAGGCAACCATTCCTGCCATCCCAACCCTTGGGACCAGCCACTTACCCCAAACCTCCCATAAGGCTACTGCCTCGTCCTCCCAGCAAACCCGTTCCTCTACAATTCACACACCGCCATGTGAGTGCAACCCCTACTCTCACACGCAGCTCACTGCCCCATGGCCTGCTCCGTCCGATGTACAGCCCACGACCACTCCTGCACCAGCACCCGGCCCCGCGTGCCCCGCCCCAGCTACACCACCACCAACCATAACTTCCCCCCATGTCACGCTCTGGAACACCACATACCCTCCCCAAGCTGACTACCGCAGCCCCAGTCAAGACACATCACTCGGCTCCCTAGTCCCCATCCATCGGGACATCCCACTCCATAACGCCATCGCAGGTGCACTGGGCACACTACGCCTGACAGCCTTAAATATGCAGCATCCCGAGCCCATCCCGACACAGAGCACCACCCACCCAACCTTCGAGGATATTTCGGCCCCAACACCACCTGGCCCGGCACACACCCATCCCTTCCCCCACACTGGCTCTTCCTCACACCCAACCCGACCACCACCAGTCAAACGCCACCACTCCGACATCGAACCCGACCTGGATTTTTCCCACCCCTCCTTTCACCTCCCACCGACAAAGAGACACCACGATATGCGTTATCTACCAACCCAGCTCCTATGAACCTGGGCAGAATGAGTAGGAAGTAGCTGACACTACTATTGATGACGACGACCAGGAGGAGTATGACGCCAACACAGCCCTCCAGTTTCCGGGCATCCGGAACCTACACGACGAAGGACAGCCAATCCTGTATCGCACCATGCAACGGTACTGGGAGCGGGAGGCACACCTCTTCCAAGGCTTCACCGCGGACGACATTGCCGACATAGAGCGACACTTCGCCGATGCCAAAGTCCGTATCCAGTTCTCCATCTACCCGTCACTCCAGCCTCCGAATGACCAACTCAGCATCATCAACTACCGACGCGAGATCGAGGATGTCTGCCAGGAACGCTTCGGCCTCACCTTCCGGGGGGGTCTCCTCGAACACGGCCAGCAGCTCCTCGGGGATCCCCTCCAACGCACCATCCAGGCCTGGGCAGCACCACGACGTGGGTATCTTTTTCTCCGCGACATCTCCGTAGTTATGATCTACCAATATGCTGGTGTGCTCGACAACGGGCTCTCCTTCCACCAGCTTGAATACCGCAATCCATCCAAAACCTCCCCTGGCGACCTCATGTGCGCCCTCCGCGCCCTTGGGGCAACTGACGCCATCGTCCAAAGCCATACCCGGATGTCCGGAACACACGGCCCACGCGACCACTTGGCTGCCATCGGCTGTATCAAGTGGCCCTCGGAAGGCCACTACCGCTTCCGCCTCGTCTTCCCCAGCCAGAGCATGGCAGAAACTGTATACGCCAACTTCCGCCAACATATGGCCGGTCCCGACCGATTGGATCTGGTCCCCCCATCCATGAAGCTCACTCCCCTACGCGACCTCTGCTGGGACAACCCCACATCCACCTTCTTCCACCCACATGCCACCAGTGCCGCCACACTTGTGGATACCAAAGTCCGCATTGGCCGCCTCCCCCCACTCACTACTACTGACGACATCCTCGCTGCGCTTCGCGGCTCCCACCTCCCCACCCCAGACGTCGATATCACAGGGGACGATTATGTCACGCTCACTTTTGACACTCCAGCACCCATAGCCTTCCTCTGGTCCACCTCTGGCCCACATGGCGAGACCCGACTCTATATCCGTGACATTGCAGTACACCTCCACATCCTCACCGGCCGCCCCCGACGGTCTGCTGCACCGCTACAGTGCCGGGACTGTGGCCGACACGACCACCAGGGTCGACCATGTGACCGCTTCACCTATCTCGACCCACGGGATCGCGCCCGCAGCAACTCCCAACACACAACCACCACTCGCAGAGACCTAAGTAGCACTGACACACGTACGCGCAGTGCAAGTCGCCACCGCCATGCGGGACACCACTCACATTCCGCCCTCCAACATCCCGCCGCGGAAGGCCAACACCAACAACACCAGCCCCAAACCCAGGCCTGGCAACTCCCACTTCAGCGCCACCCGCAACAGGTCCACGGACACACCACGGACCTCAATCTCTACCTCCGGCGTGAGATCTCCACGTACGTGGACCAACGCATAGTATCGGCCACGACCCCACTCCGACAGGAGGTTGAGTCCCTCCGCGCTGATAAAGAGGCCCTGGTTGCACTTGTATCCGCCTCCAGTGCTGCTTTCTCCACTCTAGACGCGCGCCTCCTAGAGGAACGACGCCTACGCGAAGCCGCGGAACTCCTCCAAGCCGAGGACAACCGCTTAAGTGCGGAGGCACACATCCGCCTGAACACTGTGGTCACCCAACATGAGTCCCAACAGGCTGCCTTAACTGCACGTCTCCCATACCTCGAATCCAGTGTCCACACACTACTACAGGCTATGCAGTCCGTATCGTCTCAAATGTCAGCACTGGCAGGGCTCGGGCCCCTACCCGCCACCCTCACACCCAATGTGCCCATACCACTCGCCACGGACTCCACTGGGACCCCCCTCGGTGCTATGGAGGACGCACTACTGACCCGAGGACAAGAACCAGACGACACCATGGGCACTGAGCTTCAGGACCAGGGGGCGTCAAACTAACCCCGGGGTGTTGGGTCAGACCAACGACACCTCGGCAACGCCTCTGGTCTGGACCGTGGTGGCTCCTCAGCTTTCTGCTCTGGATCTCCTGCTACTCCCCCCTGGCCGCTGCCACCCACTCTCCATCACCGACATCACCCCTACCACCATATATCCCCACACCGCCCCCGCATTCAGCCACCTACACGATCCGTACTCTTCGGATGACTCCAACAACTCGGAACTCCTAGATGCCCGCATTGCGGAAGCACTACAAACTCCTCTCCCGCTAAGTACCCCCGACATCAACCCCCCGCGGCAACGCCGCCGACGACGCGCATGGAGGATCCATCGCCTCCCCCTCCCCCCACCTGACGCGGACACTGCTAGACACCAACTCGACAACATCCTCCGGCGTGAGTCACTCAAGGGCGAAGCGTACATTGGCGACCCAGGCCAACCGCCCCCACCGGGGCTCCTGCTAGATAGCCTGCGTATCGCAGCCACCAACATCAATAAAAACACGTATGGTAAACTGGGAGATGAATTGGCCACCTGGTTCCGCGCTAACGCACTGGACTTTCTCATCATCGCGGACTCGGACCTTCCCGCACACAAGGCCACTCACCTCTGGACTTCCACACCCAGTGGCTCCCCCACTCCACACCTCATGGCCGTTAGTAATCACCGCGTCAGCGTCTTATATGACATTCAACGTTGGCACTCACGCATCGATGCCCGGCGTACAACATACTCCCCGTCGGGGCGCAGTATTTCCATCTGTATCCGCCTTGGCAAAGGCTCCCTTTTAACCCTCATCGGCACATATTGTCAAGACTCCCCCGCATCTCACCGCGAGACGACCGAACAGGAATGGCAATGGCTCACCCAGGCCACCACAAAAATCCCTGGGCACCATCACTCTGTCATCATGGGGGGAGACTTCAACACCTACGGCACCAACCCCCTCGACCGATCTGCCCCACAACTCCGCACTGGCCCCAGTCTGGGCATCGGTACAGCTTTCCAGCGGTGGATCCAGAGTATCGGACTCCTCTCTACCTTTCGCTACAGGCACCCCAACCGACAACGTTACACCGTGTCTGCATGTGGGGGGGGTGCCGTAATCAGGGGTGGGAGGCGGCCCTCGAGGAGGAGTTGAGAGGTGTGCTCGCCGAACGTGGAGATGTCCCCTTTCGTGAGGTAGCGTGTGTTGACAACTCGAATGGGTTGGACACCCGAGAGTCGTGAGGGCGTGTGATCACCTGGGCAGAGGGCTAGGGCTAGAAAGGGAGTGCCGGCATGGTCACTGGAGTGGATGGTATGGAGCCATATGCCGCTGGCACTGAGTTTGTGGGCGGATTGTGCAGAGATGTAGATGTCATCCAAGGTGACGGCAGTGTTGTTGCGAGCGTCCAAAGCAGTCAGAAAACTCAGTTTTCAAAAGGAAAGCACAATAACTAAGATGCAACTATTCTAATCGGTCAAATATTGTTGTTGTGACATGTGATCGAAGGAATACGAAATTCTCTATCATGATGATATCTCACCCATTGCAATTCACTAACCTGCAATAATATGGCCCGTGTAGTCAGATAACACTACTTTCAATACGCAAATACAAAAACAATGACACAACTATTCCATTGGTTATATATTGGTGAATAATTAGACTGTCGTGGCACCACAATTCTGGCATGGCGTCATTCGAGAATTGTGTTGGAGGATGCAAGGTAGGTTCATGTCATGCATGTTCTTCTCGGTGTTCATGTCATGCATGTTCTGCTCGGTGTTCAAGTTCTGCTCGTTGTTCATGTCCATGCATGTTCTTCTCGGTGTTAGGATAAAATAGCAATGTGAGTGGGTCCAAAGTGACGAGGACTTACGAAACGCACTGCAGCACACATGGGGAGGCTGTTGTACACCGTGCCTACCCTGACAATAAGTTGCTCCCTACGGTTTCCTTAGCACTACTCAAGCAGTGCACTGTAGTTTTTACTGCGTATAAGCGTTTTACAGTATATGGTGCACGTCACCTATAAACTACCAACTTTTCACAAAATTTTCTGACTTATATTTCATATTCATTACTCAAAATTTCAGCAAATTGAATCGTAGAATCGACAGATCTCAATGTGGTGAAGAAATGCTACGTCTCAGATTCAAATTTGGTGATGAATTGGTCCTGAAATACATATTTGGCGCTTGGATATTTGGCCATAGGGGTGGCCGCTGAGATGTATCTTGATTTTTGTATGTGACTTTTATCGAAGAGTGGAGGTTTTACTATTTAACGTACATTTAATGTAGTTAAGCCCAAAAACAAAATTCGTTAAATACCGATATCATGCGTTTTATCACTGCAGTGGGAGGTTAAAGGACGACTTCGGTCCAAATAGTCAGGTGGAATTTGCGTAGTGAACTTCGTGTGAAACGATAAGTGAATTTTTTCCTTTGACCTAACCTTACCTGCGAAAAATCCTTTTCAGGTAGCGAGGTTTTCCATTTTATCATGGGATATTTGTGTCGTACTGCATAAAACTTGAATCTGCGTCCGTGGTATCCTTGGTCGGATAATCATGTCACAGCCTTGCAAGCCCAGGGAGGGGCATAAGGATTACCGTCTGGGGGGTGAAGCAGATCCTATTTTAGGAGGCGTATCAAACTACCACTAACAGCATGCTGATTGCAGCATGCTGTTAGTCGGGAATTGAAATCAAATGACAAAGGTCTATTCTGGCACTGATTTCGTTTGATTATGCAAGAACCAATTGAAAGCTAAGGCCGCGGCCAAGCCAGCCAACGGAAACGTGAATGTGATGGAAGCTACCCCGATGGAGCCGAATGGCACGGGTGAATCAGGGTGCGACTATGGAACGCAACAAAGTTTCGACCAAAGGAAAGGCCAACAAGAAGGCGCCACCCATGGCGAAGTCAGTAACGACGGCGTCGACAAACGGGAAGGCGAAGTTAAATGCAACGCCCAAGATAACCAGGACATTGTGGCAGTTACCGAACACTGCTGTAGACGGTGAGCAATCTCTGCCCGATGCGTGGAGCCAAGCCCGCCGCGAGTTGTTGCAACGCATTCAATTGGACTATCCAAGTGGTTCGGAGGAAAAAACCAAGGATGACCCCAACGTGGCCAGCCGACTTCTACTGTTCTACATTAGGCAGTATGGGATTGGCGGAGTTGCGATGTATGCAGACCGCATCGCAGCCTCATTGCACCTGGCAGTGGATCAAGAGCTGTATCAACCACCCAAGCGTCCGGCCCCCGATGCCAGCATAAACGTCGCCAAGCGTACGAAACGTGCGTTGAGCAGGAGGACGCATCGGAGCCAAAACAAACAAGCTGTGTTGGATGGGCAAAGGTTGTACCGAGAGAAACAGCGCGTCGTGAAAGAAAAGATTGCCGTCTCTGCTGCGAAGAAGAAGGAGTACCGGCAAACCAAGCGTGCGAAGAAATCTCAAATGCGTCAAGCTGATGAACAACCGCAGGTGGAAGACTTCCTGATGGAGTTTGTGCCCGCTCAGCATCCGATCATACCAGAAGGACCGGTGCTGAGCCGTGGAGAGATGGCTGCTTTGGACGTTGAGCTCAACACCCGCGTCGATTTCAGCCATTGAACGATTCGGAGGCACTACAAGATGAAATTGATTTCTTCGAGGGAGTGCTCGACGACATCAACCTTCATCTGACGCTAGAGCCGTATCCTTTTCAACCGCTGGAAGACCCTACGGCCATTCATGGTGAGGTTCAATTCATCGAGGAGGCCCTCCACGACATTGACCTTGGCGAAGATCCACCGTTCCTTCCTCATGATCCCGTCCAAAATGCGATTCAAGTACGGCCTCCATGCCGAAACCCTGTATATTACGTCGGACGGCAATCGTACGAAGTGTTTGAGGAAGGTGGTCACACATGGCTGCAAGTTCCTGGGAAAACGAAAACGTGACTGCACTGCCGAGCAAAGTTGACACCCCACGACTACAAGAACCTGCCCTGTTGTTTGAAGGGCAAGGTGAAGATGGATCCTTACGTTTTCCCCGACTCGCCGAAAATGCAAGCGTTCAAAGATCTCTTCAAGCAGCGCAACTTCATCGAGCACATCCGTCAGTACAACGCAGGTAGAAATCTGGGGGACACACACGTGTATCAAAAACACAAGGGAATTGACCTAGCGTTACAGCAGCGAACGACGACAGAGCATCCGCCCACAAAATTGCGCGCACCGCAGCGGAGGTCGTGTGTATAATTTTGTGCAGGCGGTGCCTTGGCGAGGAGCCCCAATCGTGCACTTCACCGAACGTTGAATCGATTCCTCTCCTCGGGAAAGCGGCAGGTAGACCGCAGGCCGTGCCGCTCCCGGACGAGGCCTGTGGAGGACCAAATTACCTTATATAGTAATTGTAACGTTACAGTTTCATATGATTCCCCATTTTCTACCTGTGATTCCCTAATTCTTGTGTGCAGAGTTTCTGTACTCTTGTATTCAAGGCCAACTGACCCACAACATTGGTCCGTTGCAGCCCAGTCTGAACAGAAGTGGCAACCTGCGACAACCAAGTTTTGCCCAAATCTACATGCACACCAGCGAGGAGCAACTTCAACACCGACGAAACATGTTTCCGGCGTTCAGTTCGCGGTACACTGCCACGATACAGCCAGTGATGGATCTCCATAACCCATTGGCGAGAACGTATGCCACTGCCAAAGAACGTTTGCGTCGAGCGGACGGGATATCGGGGGGCAATCTTCAAATTGTCCTGAAGGCTGTTGGTGGCGCGCAGACTCGAACACACAACTTGCCTACCGTGGCTCAGCTTGTAATCATGGAGGGAGACGGCAGCGAACCAACAGAAGGTCGTCATGTGGTTCTGCATAGTCTGAACTCGAACCGGTTCACAACCATTCGAGAAACGAATCCTCTTCACGACGCGTTGCAGTTCCCCTCCTGTTTCCAATGGGAGGTCCTGGATGGGAGTACACCATGACGAAACCGACGGAAATCATTGTCTCTCCGTGCGTTCTTCAACTACTGGCTTCAAGACGAGACGGCGACCACTTCTCCGACATGCTGCACCGATCCTCCATGCTATTGAAGGTTTACACTACGGTCGGCTTGGAAACCAACAGGCTGCGCTACATTTCTCAGAACTGGGACAAGTTGCGATTCGATTTGTACGCAAGCGTCAAGGAGGCCACCGAGAGACGCTCAGGGCTCCACAACGTCGGCATCAAGTCCATCGTGCCTTCAAGCTTTACTGGCGGTAAGCGTTACACGAAGAAATGCTACTTCAACGCCATGGCAATTGTGCGAAAGTACGGGAAGCCATGCCTCTTCGTCACCATGACGTGCAACCCCAATTGGCCGGAGATCATCAGTCAACTCAAGCCCCATCAAACGTCAGCTGAACGCGATGACATTGTCACATGCGTGTTTGAGTGCTAACGTATTTCGAGGACGACATCCACAAGAAACACGTCATTGGCAAGGTTGTCGCATCCGTGCGTGTTGAAGAGTTTCAAAAGCGTGGCTTGCTGCATATGCACATACTCCTATGTGCATATACTCCTCGTCATGGAAGACCACGACAAGTTCAGGACCGTCGACGACATCAACTCTGTGGTATCCGAGCGCATTCCAGACGAGATCAAGAACCCCCAGCTGCAAGAGCCAGTGAAGAACTTCATGGCATGTGCAATAGGACGACAATGGACAGCCGATTCCAAGTGCGAGGGCTTGCACCGACAAGACTGGCAAGTGCAAGAAAGGCTTTGCGCAGCCCCTGCAAGCTACCACAACCGAGGGGGTCGATGGATATGCCAAGTACCGTCGCGACACAGCCACAGACGAGTACTGTGTGCCACACAACCCGTACTTGGTGCACAAGTACAAGTGCCACATCAACGTCGAGGTTTGCACAAGCATCAATGCCGTCAAGTATCTGTACAAGTACGTGTAGAAGGACATCGATCGGATCACGTACGCAGTTTTCACCGACCGGCAACGCCAACCCATGCTTGACGTAGCACGGTAGTACGTTGAAGGACGCTACGTGACCTCCCTCGAAGCTATCACATGCATCCGCTGCTACGACCTGCAAAGGATGTCCCACGCTGTCGAAGTATTGCCCGTGCACGAGAAAGATCAACAGCATTGCACCTACGACGAAACCCACGACGCAGAATCGGTCGTTGCAAGGAACCAAAAGACCAAGTTGATCTCCTTCTTCCTCGCTTGCGCGCAAGGCCTAACAGGGATCGACGGCGTTCCTGCAAAGAACTGCCTATACTTAGACTTCCCGCAGTACTTCCGATTTGACCAAAAGACCAAGTTGTGGGTTGAACCACACCAAGATCATTGGTCGCATTGATACGGTCAGTCCGCGTCAAAAGGAGCGGTTCTACATTCGAACCCTGCTTTGCTATAAGTATGGACCAATTTCCTTCGAAGATCTGCGCACAGTTCACGGAACTCTGTATCCAACGTACGAAGAAGCTACACTGTCCATGGGACTATTAGAAAACAACAAAGAGTATGTGGTATGTATTCGACAAGCCACGTTGGAATGCATGGACGGACAGCTGCACGAACTGTTTGCCAACATCTTGGTACATTGCCTGCCAGCGAACACGCGAGCTCTGTTTGACCAATTCAAAGCTGATTTCATGGACAAGCGGCTTCAGGACCTGCGCCGCTGCAACGAAGCACTCCCAGAGCCGCTCAGTGAAGACATGATGCTTGGCAAGGCGATGTTCTACACACTCAAGAGCATCGGCAACTGCTTCCAACACCATCGGATGAGCCTTTTGGACTACTTGACGTTACCTCAACTCCACGAATTCGAAGTATTCCGAGACTTGGGTGAACGGCAACTACTGGACGATCCAATAAGTCGGCTTTATGTCATTGAAACGCCTTACACGCGTGCAGCCCTCGATGACGTGTTGGCCACTGCTGCGACCATGACTGGCGAGCACAGGTCCTTCGTGGCCACCGTCGTACATCGACCAAATCTATGGCGACATCAATAACCCGGCCAAGTCTGAGCAAGCGATTTTGGCACCCAAGACCGTCGGGGTCGATGAATACAACGCCAAGGTTTGCGCAAGATGAACAGTTCTGCCATGTCCACTTGCCTCTCAGCCGATTCACTCGAGCAAGAAGGCGAGGATGTTGACAACACGGCGATGGATTTTCCCTCCGAGCTCCTGAATTCCATAAACATATCCGGCTTGCCACCGCACAAGCTCGAGTTCAAGGTGGGATGCCCAGTCATGCTTTTGCGCAACATTTGCCCCTCCAGGACCTATGCAACGGGACAAGATTGCGGATCGTCAAAGTGTCAACCAAGTGCATCGAGGCAACTATCATGGGCCGAGCATTTGACAACAAGCGAGTCTTCGTACCGCGCATCACCTCGGTCGACGAGGGAAGCCAATCCAACCTCCCTTTCAAGTTGAAGCGACGCCAGTTTCCAGTGAAGTTGGCATTTACTATGACCATCAACAAGTCTCAGGGCTAAACGTTAAATCACGTGGGACTTATCTTGCCAAGCCCAGTGTTCTCTCGCGGACAACTGTATGTTGCACTGTCTCGAGCCAAAACCAAGGCTGGGATCTCTGTGTTAGTGCGGGACGGCAAGATCCCCGGATTCGTAGGAATCTACACCCAGAACGTCGTGTACCGCTCCATTTTGCCAACGACGAAAACTAAATACTCCATAACACGGAATTCATTCTTCCTGAATATCGTGCACACATCCATTCACATGACGGTCATGAGCACAACCTGCTTTTTGCAGCAAATAAACTATTCTGCATCATATGCACCATACCATATATCTCCTATCGTATCATCAACCATCATAGCAAATGTAGGAAACCCACGCTAGTTTCAATATACCCAACACTTGTACCCAAATATTGCATGTATCACTTTTTTACCGCAGCGTAGATGGGACAACCTACTGTTTCCAGAAAACACATTGTCCTTTACATGAAGGTCCCCAGACGGACATGTTGTTCGTAGTTTCATACCACACAACGCCACGGTAACGAAGAATCCACCGTCCAAAGTGTGTAGGCGGACGTGTTGTTCGTCACGTTGTTCAACACAAATGTACAGGTCCGAAACCCTTACTGTATTCAGCCAAGCAAATCATCCTGCACATCAAGTTTCTACAACATTGTTTTTCCTCATGTGATGCCACACAACACGGCGATAGCTCGAAAACACTGTTATTTAAATGACGAACTCCTACTGAAGTGTATACGGAAGTACTGTTCACCGCATCCAACACAGCGGTCGTGCCTGCAAGATGGGCCGACTGCACTCTGACCAACATATCACGAATCAATCTGCGGAGCTATTGGAGTGCCTGTGAGATAGCGCCGACTGTGTTCTGACCAACATGTCACGAGATAATTGGCGATGCGATTGGACATACCCGCAAGTTGGCACCAACATGCATTCTGAGATATACTCGTCGCGTCTCAAACAGCGGCGCTATTGGATGTTCCTGAGAGGTGGATTAGCTGATTTCAAGTCAACATGTCCAAACCACAGGGTTACTGATTTAGATGCGCGAATTAGTCTTAGCGTGGTTGCACCGTTTCTACCAGAGCCTTTCCTGTGTTCACTATACTCCACAGCATATGCACTGATTCCCAACTTCAAAATACCGAACCCCGTTCCACCGCATATACGAGAGTTTTGAAAACGCATATTACAAGCAGAAAATGGCTGAAAACTATGCCAGGTTCAACTACGACGACAAATAAGTAACAACTGCACATCTTGCTCCAATAGACAATTAACTCGGGCGGCAGAGCAACGGGCTCACCTACCGTATTCCCCACCTACCAGTACCCCTTGAAATGTCAGTAAAATCTGGTGCAAATGGGTACAGCTAGACAAGGAGAGCTCGGATCAACCAGCAGAGTGTGAGACAATGTGATTGGTTAGTTTGAATATAGTGAATACCTGTGATTCGTTCGTTTTGTTTTGCAAGCGCAAAGGGAAGAAGCCAACGTGGCATGCTTGCTCGCTGGCAACAAGGCGAAACACCTTGAGAACCTCTTCAAGATTTCCACTTTCGCCTTGTACCTCAAGGCAGCAAACAACCAGGTCGTTGACTGTAAGGCTATCCCCACAAAAGTCATGGCAGCTACATGAGCGGGTCCCTTCACCGCTCGACACACCCTCGATGTCGACACCCTTCAGCTCCATGAGTCGACGCGCACACAAGCACTCTTGAGGTGATTTTACTGGTGCTATAAACCAACCAATCAAATCTTAGACGGGTACAGCCTCGTGGGGATTCTATAAAACGTTCTACAATGAGCTTAGCTTTGAAATTGGGTACTACTAGACCAGGAGAAATGATGGGTACTGACTGGTAGGTGGGAAATACCGGTACGGTAGTCAACTAACGTTACCGTACCGTACACAATAACTACCCTGGGATTTTTCGTCCAGGGTAGCAAAACTTAAGCCGAATGAGTTCGTTATGGGTAGTTATTTCGACCGCCATAGTATCGAGGGTACCTTATTTAAGACCGAAATTTAATACTATATTTTGTATACCCATACAATTTTATAGTTATATTGAAAATTATATGTTCATACTTGTGGCACATCGTCGGTAACCCCGAAATGCATTAAACAAGCAACTCCTTTATTGTAAAGTTTCACTGTAGCCGAGCTGACGCACTCAACATAGTCGAATAAATAGTGTTCTCTTGCAATGACGACAGGTGTGCATCAAAGGCAGAAGTCGATCCACACATAGGATGCTGACCGCAGGTTTCGAACGCCCTCCCAATCCACTTATCCTAGACGACAGCAACACCGACTATCCCACCGAATCTTGTAAGTTGCGTAAGCGCCCACGCGTGGTGGTTCGCGAAGACTTCGTACTCCTTAACGCTGATCTGCGCGACGACTTTGTGCTTGAGGAAGACGAAGACTGGATGTAACTACAGTACAGTAGTTAATCATTCATATTCATTTTTCCTTTTGAGTTGATATAGTAAGCTTACAGGTTACTGTTAGTATATTTGTTTGCACAGCACCCAGGGGAGATATTAAGCCCGGGTAGTTATTGTGTACGGTACGGAAAACCCCAGCGAAAGAAATCACAGCTGGCTACAACCGGATAATGTATCCGGCATTTTGGAATGACTTGGCCATGTCTGATTGGTGCAACCAAGTCAAAAGAAATATCGCCAACAATTTCAATTTTGTATTGCCTTATAAATAAATTCGCGGCGTCATTTCTGCCCCACAACGAACACAGCCGCCATGTCGAACGACGCGTCGCCATCGCCAATCGCCGGCATGACGCTGTCGAGTGTGATGCGAGATATCAAGGACAAGTTCAAGAACGAGGACGAAGATGCCGCCACGTCTCCGTTCCAGAACCTGGACAAAGCCACGGTTCTCCATGAGACCAAGATCTTCTCGGACGCCCAGATGGTGATGAAGCAGCCCCGCAAGTGCTGCCAGTTGATCACAAAGTTGCTGCACATCCTCACGCAGGGCGAGCCGTTCACGTCCAACGAGATCACGGACGTGTTCTTCAAGGTGACGAAGCTCTTCCAGGGCAAAGACGCCAACCTCCGCCGCATGATGTACTTATTCATCAAGGAGGTCGCTGACGCCACCCCCTCGGACAGCGTGATCATTGTAACCCAAAGTCTCAGCAAGGACATGAACTCTGACACGGACTTGTACCGAGCCAACGCGATCCGCGTGCTTTGCCGCATCATCGACACGTCCACGCTGTCCGCGATCGAGCGCTACATCAAGCAGGCCATCGTGGACAAGAATCCGCTTGTGTCATCGTCTGCGCTCGTCAGTGGGATGCATCTCATGCGTCACTCCGCGGACGTCGTGCGCCGCTGGACCAACGAAGTGCAGGAAGCGCTCAACTCGCCCACGGACATGGTGCAGTACCACGCGCTGGCACTGTTGTACCAGATCCGGCAGCACGACAAGCTGGCCGTGTCCAAGCTCCTGTCGCAGCTGCACAAGACGCCGCTCAAGTCGAACCTCGCTTGTTGCCTGCTGATCCGATACTCGGCGTCGCTTCTCGCGGACGACGTCGCCGGCACAAACTCGCGTCCGCTGTACCAGTTCCTGGAAAAGATGCTGCGCCACAAGAGCGAGATGGTGCTGTACGAGGCCGCGCGCGCCATCTGCTCCCTCCCGCTCGACTCACGCGACCTCGCGCCCGCCATCACGGTATATGATTCTTTCGACCTTTGTTCTGCAAACCCTCTCACTTTATCACACTAATTGACGTCACACACTAATTGACCGGCGAACGATTTTGATTGGTCGACGTTTTTCTTTTTTCGAATTCTCACCATATGGTTGATGCAGGTGCTGCAAATCTTACTGAGTTCGGTGCGTCCAACCCTCCGCTTCGCCGCGGTGCGGACGCTGAGCCACGTGGCGCACGTCCAGCCCATGCTCGTGGCCAAAGTGAACGAGGACCTGGAGACCCTCATCGGCGACTCGAACCGGAGCATCGCCACGCTGGCCATCACGACGTTGCTCAAGACGGGTGCCGAGTCGAGCGTGGACCGACTCATGAAGCAGATCAACACTTTTATGAACGAGATCGCGGACGAGTTCAAGATCGTGGTCGTCGACGCGATCCGAAACTTGTGCGTCAAGTTTCCCCAGAAGCACCGGATGCTCTTGGCGGCGCTGTCATCGTTTCTGCGGGAAGAGGGCGGGTTCGAGTTCAAGAAGACCATCACGGATGCCATCTTGGAGATCGTAACGGTGCTGCCCGACGCCAAGGAGACGGGACTGCTCCACCTGTGCGAGTTTATCGAAGACTGCGAGTTTACGCTGCTCAGCGTCCAGATCCTGCACGTGCTGGGGGTGCTGGGTCCATCGACATCGACGCCGTCGCGGTACATTCGGTTCATCTACAACCGGATCATCCTCGAGAACGCGACCGTCCGCGCGTCCGCCGTGTCGGCGCTCACGGCGTTCGCACTCCAAGTGCCCGAACTCGCACCTAGCCTCCGCACGTTGCTGCAGCGGTGCCTCGTCGACGACGACGACGAAGTTCGCGACCGCGCCACGCTCTACCTCTGTCTCACAGAGCCCGCGCCCGAGTCTGCGATACCGTTTTCCGTCCACCAGCTCGCGACATCCCTCGAACAGTACGCATTGCGTCCGTCGGACGGACCCATTACGATCTACAGCCTTCCGCACGTCGAGCCAGACAAGACGGCGGCGATTCCATCTGCCAAGATGACGACATCAGCTCTTCCGCCAGTCGACCCCGCGCAGGAACTGTACAAGATCGCCGCGTTTGCCGCGCTAGGCCCGCTGTTCCGATCGGCGTCGCCCGTGGAACTCACGGAAGCTGAGACAGAGTACGTCGTGTCGGTCGTCAAGCATGTGTTTCAGCGTCACATTGTACTCGAGTACGTTGTGCGCAATACAGTGCCAGATCAGATGCTGCTGGATGTGACAGTGAACGTCGAACTGGACGACGATGTCACATGTTTTGCCGTGCACAGCACTGTGCCTCTCAAACAGCTCAAGTACGGCGACGTTGGGTCGACCTATGTTTGTTTGGAACGCGTAGCGGACGACGTTGTCACTGTATCGCAGGCCACGATTGCCAACGAACTCCAGTTCCGCGTTGTCGACGTTGTGCGGGGTCAACCGGATAGTGGATCCGGATACAGCGAAGAGTACCCCATGGAGGATGTGGAAGTGAGCGGCGCCGACTTTATGGCCAAGGTCCAAGTGCCCGACTTCCGGTCGGCGTGGGAACATATTGGAGACGAGCATGAAGTGCGCGAACAATACGCGCTCCGGTTCCAGTCCCTCGTCGAGGGCGTCGGCGCTGTGATCGAGTACCTTGGCATGCACGCGTGTGACCACACGGCCGTGCCGGCGCCCCACGCGACCGCACACATTCTGCTGCTGAGCGGAGTGTTTGTGGGCGGAGTGAAGGTCCTTGTCAAGTGCAAGCTGAGTGTGGACACGAGCAACCGCGACAACGGACACATGCTGCTGCTGCAGATGGCCGTGCGCTCGGAAGACGCCGTCGTGTCCCAAACCGTGTCGGACTGCATCCGTTAACTAGATGCGGTGCTAGAGTCACACTATATTGCATGAAAATCACACTATATTGCACCAAGAATACTGGATATTGTAACCGTGTTACACCATTTTGCGGTTAGTATTTCGAAAAATACTACTAGTACAGTATTTCGTGGAATCCCATTTAAACTCGTGGAAATTCATTTTATTCCGCGACCTTGGCATTTAATTTCGTGGGAATAGAATATAAGTATATGTCGAATTCTCTCATTATATTTCGTGGACTGCCAGTACAATATATTTCGTGATTTGCTCAGTTGGATTCGCAAACATCCAATATATTTCGCCAATATATTTCGCATAAATGTTAACGCAATGGATGCATGTACGTACTACTACTAGGTGGTATCAGGAACATACCTTGAATGACTTGGTCAGCAATATGCATTCAGAAATCCTCGCGCATTCTTAGTAGCTCCACCAGGAAGTGACCCAATTAATGCAATGCGTGACTCACTAAGCAACGAGTTCACGCGGAGTTTCATTGCTCACAAGATTAGATTCTCCATGGCGTCCCGATGTCAGCAAAGCGACTACTGGCATTGGATTGCAGACATCAGGATGTTTATGTAGGTGTCTCGTCGACGTGGCTGACATTAGATGTATGTATGTGCTTACTGGGGTTCAAGGTGATGGAGTTGCATCGCCATCGGGGAGGAGCAAATCACGAAATATACTGTACTGGCAGTCCACGAAATATAATGAGAGAATTCGACATATATATTCCCACGAAATTAAATGCCAAAGTCGCCAAGTATAATGAAGCTCCACGAATTCACATGTTAACAGTAAATGGGATTCCACGAAATAGACCGCAAAATGGTGTAACGTTAGTAAAATCATCTCAATTGAAGTTGATTGGCTAAAATCCACCTTCGAGTTTTCGGCAAAGTAGCCAATCAAATGTCTTGGCTCGGTTTGCGGATTCTATTCGTGTCCGTGACTTGCTTTTGGATCGTACACGAATCGGCGTGTAGTAGTAATGTATGTACACCGTTCATCGTAATTAGTGTGGACCACACTAAATAGGAATGTGTGATTTGGGGTATGGTCACAAGTATTAGTGTGGACCACACTAATAGTGAATCCACACTAAATAGGGGTGGTCTAAATAGTGTGGTCCACACCATTTAGGAATGCACATATTTAATGTGGATTCCCATAGGGGTGTTCGAGTGCGCAGATGAGGGCGGAGGCGATCAGTTCGTATGAGCTTCAGGCCATCATCATCAAGTACGAGAAGCACTATGAGGGCGAGGGGCAGTTCCACCATTGATGCCATTCAGTTCCACCATTGCTGCCATTTAGTTCCACTCCGAATAAGTGTGCTGTATTCAATGGGGTCTTACTACAGTAATTCGTTACATGCCAGCGGCCGCTACACCAGGTGGAGGACCAACTCGCCCTCGTAGTGATTCTTGTACTTGGCGATAATCGCCTGAAGCTCGGGTGTAAGCTGCTTCACGTGCCAGAAACCCGTTACGTCTAGAGATAGAGCACAACAGATCATAGCTTTTCGAGCGTAGGTCAGCCCGGCGTTGTCCCTCGTCGAGTTTACAGCACGAACGCAGTCGGTGGCCAACTGGAGGAAATATGTTTTCCCAGGATTCTTGAGCTTACCCGACCAGCCCCCGTCAGCACGGACGTTGTTAGACCACTCATTGCTCTGAATCAGCTCGAGCTTCTTGATATCCCAGCGACGGGTCCATTCGTCCTTGATCTTGGAGATAACAAACGAATCAGCGGGCTGAACTAAATCAGTCGCACACGGCGGGAAGAAATGGATGGCCGTGTTCGTTTCAGCCAGTGCACTGTCCAGCTCTTGATAGGCGTTATGCCCGCCACAATTGTCGACCCAAAAGTCTATTCTCTCTCGGCGTTGATCGAGTGGGTAGGCACGGCGCTCCATCATGTACAACGGGAACACCTGTTGCAATGGTCAACTGCGGTGCTCATGTCCGGCCGAATAGAGGCATCTTACCAGTTTATCATTCCAGGCTTTAGGACCTGTACAATAGGACGCCCCTGAGATGGTGTCAGGAACGCCTTGTATGGGGTAGCTCCTGTTCTTGTTCATAAAGATCATCATCGGGGCCACGATGCGAGCTTGGGGGCCACCAGTGATAGTCACCATCATCGTCATCGATTCTCCGCCTTACACAACATCGGCATATTTCACCTCCGTGTCTCCGCGCATTCCTAGTGTAGTGCCGTTGTCTACACACAATAATATAAGTATGTCAGACCCGCATAATTGATCCAGTTAGTCCACCGACCGCAATTTATGACGAAATGTGACTCGTCCATATTCCGCATTTTGTTCTAATCGTACTGCCCGCTCTCGAATCCGCGGTGAAGCACCCCGAAGTGGTAGGCAACAGATCGCTCGATGTGATCAAGCTTCTGCGGGCTGACCAACAGCTTCCCCGTCTGGCTGCGATACATGATGTTGTAGCGCTCCTAATATGAATCGGTCAGTATCGTCAGTGCACTTAACCGTCAACGGCCGATCCACATTATACATACCATGAACAACTGGATCCAGCGAGGGGTGATTTTTTCCATGATTGGCTTCTGGTCCATCTGATCAATGTAAGCGCTGTTGTACACCAAATCGCTCTGTCGTATGACATCTTTGGCAATAAGCCGCAGGAGGGAAGCGGAGAACTTGACACCCAGTGCCTTCAGGCGGCGGAACTCCAAGTAGAGGTCATCATGTGTCTGCAAAACCCATGGAGCGGTCTTGGGTCCACGCCCAGAGACTGCCTTGAGAACGGCGACCTTACGGGTCGAATTTCCGAGGCCAGAAACCGACTTCTGGTTGAAATCGTTGTAATCAGCTAACATTCTCACGTTCTTTCCACCACCGGGTCGCCTTCATGTGATTAGCCTGCAAGAATTAAATATATCATTACGGGGTCGTTGACAAAGGGTCAGATGAAAGGTGACTTACTTTGTACTCGCCGCGAAATTGAGCAGGAAACTTGGCAATGGTTCTCACATTGACACCCTTCTCACCATTTTCCAGGGCATCATTAATCATCCACCGCATCACCCGAACTCGATCCGAGATTGTGACAACCTGCTGAAGCTTGCGCTTTCTGGGATGACCACCGACGCAATCACCACCAGCTCCTTCGCCACCTTCACCCGCGACTGAACGGGCAGCAATGCGCGCGTTCTGCCGCGCGAACGCAGCTTCGATCGGCGACGCTGAGAACAGACTTGGCTGCATTACGTCTTTACAATGGAGGCAACTGCATTTGCAACTCTGTGGCGGAGTTCGATTGGTGGACCTGGTGCTCACACTTAATAGTGTGGACCACACTAATTACGAATCCACACTATTCGGGGATCCACACTAATCACGATGAACGGTGTACTTGGAATGATACAGATTTCCCCCCCAGTTCGAAACGGCTGATTATGAACAAATTTCACAGTAAATGCATTTTCAAGGTTATCAACTTTAACAGCACTACTCGTGGCCAACAATCCTGGGATTCTGCAGTCCGGCTTCTCGGCGTAGGATCCCAGTACGGGACCAGCAGTTCACGATTGTGGATTGCGAGACTTCGTGCCAGGCATCTTTGGCCCACGCCATGGCGTCAACAAGGGGGACTTCGTACAGCTTGTCCTGGCGGCCAGCCATGACCGCGTCGATTTGCTCCAGGGCGTTCTGAAGCTGGCGTTGCTTGACCTTCGCCTTGAAGGAAGCAATGATCCCAGCGTCCTGGGGTTGAAGGTACGCTGTCGTGTTAGGTGGCAGCATCTTCAAACTGACATTTGTTAGGACGGTGTCCTCCTTCACCTTATGCGGCGACGCATTGTCGACAAGAAGCAAAACCCGTCGGTTTGCCGCCTCCATCCTTGCGTTGAATGATCGCATGTACGTGTCGAAAATGGCTCCATTCATCCAGGCCTTCTTACTCGATGTGTAGTCGAAGCCAAGATCTTCAGCAATTTGGCCGTTGAAGGATCGGGGACGGACTGCACTGCCGATGAAGAGGGGCTCAACGAGGTCCGAGCCGTCGGCGTTCGTGGTGAGGGCGAGGGTAATCCTATTCTTCGACTTCTTGGTACCCGGGACACGGCTGCGTGTGATTGATCGGTGCGGCGACATGCACCAAAAGAAGGAAGTTTCGTCCATGTTGTACACGTCACTGACCTCGTAACCCGTAGTTGCCTCCAGCATTTGTTCGCGTCCTTGGTCAACGGCTTCTTGCGGCGTTGATCCTGCTTCGCCGTGTTGTCGCTTGCTGGTCAGACCGTGCTTGCGTTGGAACTTGTAAAGCCATCCTTTGGAGAATTTAAGCGGCCAGTTTGTTACCAATTTGTACTCGTCATAGTACGCTTTGGCTTGTTTGCGAATTAGCTCGCCAGTCACGCACACACCCAGTTCTTCACACCGTAGTACCCATGAGAGGACCTTGGCTTCGAGGTCGGGCATGGCTACACCTCGGTCCATTGAGCGCGACTTGAGATCGCTTCGTTGGCTCTTCGTGTCGTGCCTCTTTATGGCATTCCCAACGGTTGATTTGGTTGGAGGTGATTTCAACTTAAACGCATCCATCGCCCACACAGCCAATTCGGTGTACGTGGCGTTGGGTTTCTTCAAATGCTCAGCGTACAAGTTATGCTTGTCCGCCAAGGACATGCGCGCCTTCATTGTTCGGAATGAAACGCCCAAAAATTTGAATGTTTGAAACTACCCCCGTGAAATTTATATTATACGTTTATAAAAACAATTCATTTTGCCCCGTTTCAAACTGGGGGGGAAATCAGTACACGATTTACGAAACAAACACGAAACAAAATATACCAGATCACGAAACGTTTTTGTTTCGTAAATCACTTGTATCAAATTCCTGCTATCTTGAAATTTGTATGCGATTGCTCGTATCTTAGATATATTGTGATTTACGAAACAATCTCGAAACATGCATACTATTAGTAGTACTACGTAATTTACTGTGGATGGAGGCATGTCAGATTGGAAATGAACGTAGATGGGATGGTGTAGATCAATGTTGATTTGAATGGTTATGACGCCCTATTGAAACAATTGGTGACAATAGCCCTGCCTATGGTAGCCAATCAATTGTGATTCCTCCATAAGGAATATGGTATTTATAAATCCCTACCCCATATTAGGGGAATTATGACCCCTAGGGAACCCCTCCATGACGGCCGACGGATCTCTGAACACGCCCCCCGAATCGCGTGGTCGGGCTCGCCAACTTGACATTGGCGCCGTCCTCGCTGACCAAAGCAGTGCAGCGCCAGGCGGATCTTGTCCTGCGCAAGTCCGCGACGCGAGGAAATGTGCGGGAACTCCTGCCAGGACAGACGGCCGCCCTTGACACTGCGCGGACCTTCTAGACGCAGCAACATGACTGTATGCTGGACCCGATGTTGTGCATCCCGGCGGACTCCTCACACTCCGTACAATAACTAGTTACTGGAATGTTAACGTGATGCTCATGTTAGACGAACCGTTTTGCTCTCGCGTTCATTTAGTTAGAATAACGGCAGTCGCAAGGCAGTACAGTCGTTAGATGGAGAGATACTTTGCGGCATTGTTCACAAAGTCGGTGTTCAAGGTGAAGGACATCACCTCCACGTGCACTGGGACCTCTTATGACAACAACAATATTTGACCTGTTAGCACAACAACAATATTATTAAGTTATGGCGCCACTCGAGGTGCGCGGCATGCAGTGCCTCATTTACATGGCGGTCGACGTCTTGGCAGTACAAACATCATGATTATGAAGTTACACTGTACCTGTACAGTAGCGAAGTGCATTTAACACAATACTCGATTGGAGCTAAGTCACGTGTGTCCCTGGGGTCACCAACATCGAAGTTGATGCAGTTGGATTAGGTGATTATCTCGAGTCGTGCCAACCAAGGCCTATGAAATTATCTAAAAAAGAATAGTATTCAATAATTTAAATAAAATAAATAATTCTTTGAAATTCTGTCATTGAATAAATAATCCGAAATGCTTCCATATATAAATAAATTCTTCTGGTTTTTGTCTCAGCAAAGTAAATGATTCGTATCGACCAAATAATTCGTAAACAATTTGCTTGGATTTCATTTGGAGAAATTCCACCAATGAGAAGGACCACAAGCACCTGATTGGCATAAGCAACAAAACGAAAAACGACTGGCGAAGCATGCAAAGAGTTCTCAACCACTTAAATTAACAGGGCATCTCGCCGACCACTCATATTTGCTTTTGATGTCTGCCCCTTCGAACGCCCTCCGTGGTAAGGCTCTTGCTGAGCTTTACTTCACCCGTATGTCCCCCGACAGCCGTATCTGGGTGTGTCGCTGTGGTGTCCGCCGGACGCAAAATGCATCGGGATACACGAACTTGTGCTCCCACATCAACACCGACCATCCTGAGCACGCTACCCTTGCTAGTACCCCTGGTGCGAACCCTTCGCATCTCTTCGAGTCTATGGTCCCTAGCACTGTGCGCAACGTATTTGGATGGTTGGCTTGGATCACTATGTCCCTGCTACCGTTCGCGTTCTGTGAAAACGTGTACGCCAAACGTTATACTACCTTAGGGTCCATGACCACCAACACTCTGCGGAAGTACATGCATTTGGTGTGCCAAGTTGTGGAAATGAAGCTCCGACGCACCCTACCATCTAAATTTGCACTTGTGTTTGACGGCTGGACGACTGGGTCAACTCATTACGTTGCTGTTTTCGCTACGTTCCCATCCGACAATGTGATTGGCTACCAACGAGTACTACTGTCGTTTGCACCAATGAATGACGAGGAGTCTCTCAGTGCCGACGCGCATCTCAACTACATCGAGTTTGTGTTGGACTACTATGGAAAGTCTATGGATAACGTTGTGGCGTTTGTGGGGGACAATTGCTCGACGAATGTGGCATTTGCTCGCAGGACTGGACGCCCATTGGTGGGTTGTGCTAGCCACCGTTTCAACCTGTTCATGCGACAATTTTTGGAATCCCATGACGTTTTGATCCAAAAAATCAACACCGTTATGCGGAAGTTGAAAAACATTATTCCTGCTTCCAAGCTCCGTCGGCACACACTGCTCGTGGCACGCACGATGAACGCAACTCGTTGGAGTTCGGTTTATACCATGATTCTACGATATGTGGACATCCGTACCTTTATCGCACTTATTGACGATGATGCGGATCTCGACGAGCTATGCCTGTCCACTCGTGAAGACCGTGAGGTCGACTTGCTGCTTGGCCAACTGGAGAACTTTGACACTGTGACATTGGCCTTGCAACGTGATACGATGTCTTTGTATGATGTACGCATCCTATCTGAGACGGTGATGGAGGATTACCCTCAGGCGGCGCACTATCTGTCTCGATCCGCTAACATTGTCCAGCAGCCCAACTTTGAAAATGGGGTGTGCAAAATTTGCACTGCCAACACCGAACTGCTTCAGTCAATCTGCCACGCCAGTGATAGTATGAGAGGAGCGTGCCTGTGATTGCTGCTGGGTGTACCGGATTGTTGGCAGGCTGTACATAGTCTTCCACCGTAGCAACGTCGTACTCGGAGTAAGTCTCATGCTCAGCTTGGTCTGGCACTTGCATAATTTCACCTCATGATACTCTAGTACTACTAGTAGTAGGTGTGTTTCGTAGATTGACTTGTTAATGGAATTCGCAAGGTGAGCCACCTTGCTCCTTTTTAGTATCCAATCAGAATCCATCACACCTTGTTTCTTACACACGATTGGCTATAACACTGACAGAAGACGTTACAGTGATGCTGCTCCAGAGAATTGTGCACTGATGAGTGCACTCCGACTATGTCCAATGTGGTTCTCCCCTTAGTGGTTCTCCCCTTACAGCTAACATTATGTTGTGCGCTCGGTTG